TCTGTATTCTTTCACTGTGACAGTCCGATGTAACGGCAATGCGACCCCATTGGAGAGAGATCACATGCAAGAACAACGGATTACGTGCCTTCCGAGGAACGTGGGTAAAACACCACCTAATTTCATAATTCTGGATTGCTACTGAATATTTGATACCAAAACTCTATAATTGAATTATGACCTAAGTCGGGATTCTAAACTGTGACTACATCAACAGCGGTCACGCTTAACCACTAAACCAATTAAAAAAAATCGACGGCGTGTGAAGTCCTCTGAATCTAGGGTTGCCAGATGGGAAATTAAAAATCTTGGATAAATAACCTGATTTCCATATAATAGTTAACAAGCATGAACAATAAATAATTCAATTGGTAATGTGTACCTCGCGATCAATCCATATGCCATGCTTTGCTCTCCCCTTCCCCCCAAAAACCTTCTGCATCGTATTGAAAATTCGAAGAAAAGCCTGAGATTTCTAAAATCCGACCGCAACCCTAACACGAACCCAGATGTTCTGACATGTCAGAACGAATCTTGACATATGGTATCTCCGGTCAACACGCAGTGCTATAGCGCGGTGTAATATTTCATGTCCTAAATCCGAAAAAAAGAGGCCTGTGCCCACGCGTGGAACGTATAACTTCAATTTTTTATTGTACTATTCATAACAGCTGGTCAGAAATTCACTGCGGAATATAAGCCTCTTCCAAAGACAACTTTTTAGGCGATGGATGCAAGGAAAGGGATTATTGCTATAATTTCCAGGCTAGGAAGACGGTTTCAAAACCGTTGCTTTTTGTTATATTGAGTTGTTATCAAGTACCAGTTAGAGAGATATCAGTTTTTCTTTATTATTTTGAGTTTTTGTAGAAAGATGCTGCCCTTTCTGACACATATACATACATAAGCACTCACGCCTGTCACACCTGACACACCACTCTCGCCTCTTCCACATCCATATACCTATGCATACATGCTCGTCGGTTAAGGGTACTCTTATTTTGGCCACTTTTCAATAGATCGCCAATGTGGTGGGCAAACTTTCGCTTAGGGCGTCCCTTACCGACTCTTCAGTTCACTTCTGCAACATAAATTTGCTTTGTCACTCTTTCCTCATTCATTTTTTCTACATGACCGAACCACCGAAGCATTCCTTTCTTAATCCTCGTCACATCATCTTGCATACCATATTCTTCTCTTATTACACAATTTCTCACCCTGTCACTCAGATTACGCCCTAACATACTCCTTAACGACCGCATTTACATTGCATTTATTCTACACACCCTTCCTCTCAATCCTGTCTTCTTCCTTCCTGATAAAAACTCAAAATAATAAAAAAACTGCGGCTGCTAGCCCGCTTGCCTAGCGTGGCAACTGTGACATAATTCATCCTTATAGACCTAATGATGCAATGCATGGGGGAGGCCTATGTTCCGTAGTTAGCTTTTATACCAAGAAATTTATATACAAAAGTTCTAGCATTCATCATCATCATCATCATCACAGCCCTTCACATGACCACTGCTGAACATAGGCCTCACCCAAGAAATGCCGCAAAACACAGTACTGAACCACCTGCATCCATCTACTTCCTGTATGACTTACACGGATATCACTCCATTCTAGCATTAGTAGTACATAAATATAAATTCCTTTGTAAGCACCTGCTTACGCGAAGCAATTAAAGAAAGGAAATTTCAAAGATAGAGGGTAGATTCGAAATATATTTGAAAATACCAACCGAGGTCATCAATCAACTGTCGACAGCGCACGCGATGTGCGCCCAACTTGAATTATAAAGTCATTATTCATTATTATATTAATGATACACGTCATCGGTTTCATGATATATAATTTAATCAAGTTGTTCACCTTTACGAATTAAACTGGTGAGTTATTTCTTAAAGTATTTATCTATTATCAGGCTTAAAAAATAAGTTGTTATGTCGCCCGGTAAACAATGTACATAAACTATTGTCTAAGATTTACTGAACTAAATAATGGAATCACGCGTTACTTTGCGGAAATCCATTGTTATTTCTATGTTTATGTGAATACTAACCATTTATTTAAACTAATTTTACAAACTTTGTCACGTTTAATTTTAATTTTTAGGAAATTATTATCCAATATATTAAAGATGTTTAGTAATTTTAAGCTTAAAAGCTAAGATCCTCGCAAAAATAAATTATAAATGACTTGTTTGTTACAGTTTGAAGAGTATATTGTTAAGAGAGGGCGGGATGTGCTTTTAAAACTAGCTAAATACGTCATTTTTATTTTGTTTTTACGCGGATGTTAGCTAATTATACCAGCCTAAAATAGTAGCTTAATGTTGCTGTGCTTCGTATGGTGAGTGTAGAGAATCGGAGACCCTTGTTACTGGAAACGAGGCATTCCATCTTAGTCCTAGCTTAGCCACAGCAACCACTTACCATCAGTAGGACTGTGTGCTCGTTGGTCATCTTATCCTATATATATATATAAATTTTTTTTTTATATACATCTTTAAAAAATTGCAATCTAAAACCATGTTTAGCAGTGAAGTTTTATAGCCTGTAATGGTAATCTTTAAAACATTACATAATCTGGCTAGCAGCTACATCTGAAAAAAGCTCCAGTATAATGTTATCTACTTTCATAAATTTAAGAAAAATTGGGTAATTTACTTTTCATGGTATGATTATGGGCACAGTGTACCAGTAAAATAGTTTAAATCCTCAATTACACTGTTTTACCCGATCGGCCTGGGAAGGTAATTTTTTTGTTGAGAGTATGTATATATGTATATTTCATTTAAGTCGTAAGATTTATCTTAATTGTACGGGTGACATAGGATATATAATATTTACACGTTGCATCTGCAAATAAAAAAGGGACGGGAATAATTTTTACAGTAAAATTTTTAACACAGCCGGGATTATTGTTACTATTTTAATTATTAAGTTTGTGATCAATGCGATTGTGATAGAGTGAAAATAAAGCAGGAGTTGGTGAGCATCTTCCTGATAACACTTCAATAATAATAAAAAAGCGTGGCTGCCAACATGTCTGCAAAGCGTGGCAACTTTGGCAAATCTTGCCTTTATATTGCCTATGAGGCTATGGCGGTGTATCCGCAAGTAGATTTCGATAGGCTGTAGGATAATGATGATGAACCGGGATTTGTTTTATGGTCATTTCCCGGAACGAATAGTTAAAAAAGTAACGCACATTAAAATTATAGGTGTCTGTTAGAGAGGGAGTAATGATAAATGCGATTTAACATTTAGGGCTTAATCACCACTTACCAGGTGAGATTGTAGACAAACACTGGCTTATAATAAATAAAAAAAAACCTTGTAATTTTTTTAAACATGTATTTTTTAAATGCTAGTAATTGAACTCTTTACAAAATAGTTTCTGTAATCGTAATTATTCGATGCAATGTCTTAGCACTACTCCATAGCAGTTCTTAAATCATAAAATTTATAGGAGCGTAACAAAGAGAATAAAATGTAATTACGAAGTTCATGGAATTTCTTTCGGGCTTTGCACCTGCTCTCATTTAGTGGGATAGTATTTTAAAAAAATATGTACTTTTATTAATTTTGGATAAAGTTAAATCGTTTTATTAACTTAAATAAATACATGACTTCCCAACATTTTTTTTTTGCGTTTTCACATCACTGTTTTCTTTTTTTAATTTCAATTTTAAGTGTGAAACATCGTCACCCAATATGTATCCATAATTTCTAATTTTGAGATATTTTCTTTTATATACACCTAGTTATCTACCTAGAAGTAAAATTTCCACTTTTTAAGTTATATTTTTATTTGTAGAATAAGACTGTCAAACGAGCACGCAGTCCACCTGATGGTAAGTGGATGCTGCGGCCCGTAGACATTTTTATTTATTCTCAATGAGGAATTAAAATGCAGAGCGTTGTCACCCCTGAGGACTGAGAGGGAATGAGTCGTTTTCAGTAAAAAGTATCTACTGTTCCCCACATTTCGAAAACGCACCACACGAAATACAGCAGTATTGGGTAGCTATTTAAGGATAGTATTCTGTGAGACCTAGACCTAGACAGAAGAAAACAAAGGTTTTTATAAATGGGTTTTAGTAATTCAATGGCGTTTTCTGTTTCTGTTTGTTTAGTCGCATATAGACTGTAATTTTACATTAAAACTGATGATTTTGAAGAAGAAATAAAGAACTAAATATCTATATACTTATGATTTTTTAAATTTACACAACACTACACATTGAATAAAACTATTATTTAGGATTTTATTTATTTATTTTTTTATTTGGTTTGGGGGGGGGGCTTTAATTGTTTTTTTTTTTTAGCATATTGCGTATCGCAGAGTAAAATACTATAGATAGCTAAAGTTTATTTCGGAAAGGAGTGCAGAATGCTAAAATTTTTCGCACAGGCTCCGTTACGCAAATTGACAAGCACTGAGTTTCAGTCCTAAAGGCTGCGTGTTTGAATCCCGCATGGAACAAGTGTTTGTACGACATACAAATAATTGTTCCGGTTCTGGATAATTGTCCTTGTGAAATGTATATAATATGTAAACTGCTGGTAATGTTTTTAAAAGGAAAAGAAGAAAGAACAGCTAACATTTATTTATAATATGAGTTACAAATATGTAGATATGAAATTAAATTATTTAAAATATTCATCGTTGACGTTTATACTATAAATGTCAAACACATAATGTCTGTGGTCAAACAGTCGCACAGTGTAGAGTGTTTTAAATGCAGATGAATAATTTTAAAATGTTGCCCACAATTAATTACTGATTGACTGAATAAGCTGTAAACGTTGTTTGATTTTAAATGTTCTTTTCTCAACAGTCTCTCAAGGCAAAAAAGTTTATTTTATATTTTTTATATTATTTTATATACAGTCTTCTAAATAAACAAACGTATAGAAATATATATTACGGTCGTATTTCGACCACTCGGTGACCACTACTCATTACAGATGTGTCTCATTTCAGAAACCATGAGTCATTTTGCATCGTACTTAGACGTCATCGACGACAAAACCCACGGTCTCCTCGAGCCGCCTTCGGTTGCCTACAGCAACGTCACAGTACGACGTGCCTTCATAGTGTGGATGTACTGCGGTCAAAAGAACAAGTTCCAAGACGTCTGCAACTACTTCCATTACTTAGAAGCACTGGTAAGGAGGTTTCTAACCGGTTTTATACGTGGTAGAGCCATCTTACAGCTATTTTATGGTTGTGGCATGGATAGTTCGGCTCGCACGGAGTAGGACCACGCTCTCACAGCAAAATAGCTTAATGCTTAAATCTTTGTCTTCAGGGGTGACTGAGATATGATTATGAGAGATCTGTATTTTGATTCTTAATCGAGGTGGACTGTGTGCTAGTTTGACACCCGACTTCTGTAAAAAAAAGAACATAAAAATAAGGTTTTCGATTCTACCGTATTGCACACCTAAACACCCACAAAAGTTGGGTTTTACAACTGTCTACTTGATAAGACCACGCTATACGCTCTCATTAAATTCAGTATATTAATGTAAAACCGAAGTAATACGTGAAGAAAAGCACATTGATATTAACAGGACACACAGTACTAATTAATAAAATTGATGCTTTTATTTTAGTTTTGCTATACCTATTATTATTAAAAAAGTCTAATGAAAAATGTTTATCGTCGCCGTTCGTTGGTTTGTGGTAAAAATAGTATGTTTCTAAATTAACTTGAGTATGACTGGGCGACAGAATTATTTTTCACCATCTTCCGAATTATGTAATATTGGTTCTCTTCTAATAACACCAATGTTTGCTGGAATTACGGGAATAGTGCACGCAAATGTAGAAGGTAGAAGGTGCTCTTCATACTGGTCAGAACATATTCCATTATGCGCTAATAAGCAAATTAACTTTTAAAAACTTCAATTTAATGAATTTTTGCAATGAATTCTTACGTGGTAGAGCCATGCTGCAGTTATATTAGTAGTATAGTTGTAGCACGAATGGGTCGGCTCGACCGGGGAAGGACCACGCTCTCACAGAATACCAGCGTGAAATAGTAGCTTAATGCTGCTGTATTTCGTATGGTGAGTGTAGAGAACCGGAGACCCTTTTTACTGGAAACGAGGCATTCCATCTTAGTCCTCACGGGTGACAACGCATCTGCATTTTGATTCGTAGTGGAGGATAGATGTAGATGTCTATGGGCCACAGCAACCACTTACCATCAGGTGGACTGTGTGCTCGTTTGTCACCCTATCCTATAAAAAAAAATGTAACGCCTAACTCTACTAATTAAAGATAATATAATATAAAATATGTATAAAGCTACGGCCTATATACGTTCCTCTGCTAGGCACAGGCCTCCACTCATGTCTGAGACGGGTTTAAGGCAAGGAAGTGTCCGCGGCGCTGCCTCAATGCGTGTTGGCGGACTTCTCATGTCTTTGAAATATTTTATTTTCTTATTTCTCGGACATACAGGTTTCCTCACGATGTTTACCCTCACCGCCGATCACGTGGTGAATCAGCACTTAAATTTGCAATAACAATTTAATTGGAGCCGGCGGGGATCGAACCCGGTTTGCTCGCGTACTGTGAAATTTACAGCGAGCGTTAACCATCTGATCCGCTATCACGGCTCTTAAAATATGTATGTACTTCAATAATTTGGTTTAATAATTCAAAAATAACAAAAATAAGTGCAGTAGGCCAACAAAATCAAAATGAATATATATTAATCTATGGAGCAAAGAACTACAAAGTTGTCAAACTAAGTCACTAATTGTAGACGAGCCATAGAATACTTTAAACAAGGCTTGTACATGTGTACTTTATAATATTGTCCATTAATTACTATGGTAAAGCCGGTAATTTTATATGTAAACAAATTCTCTTAAAATAGAACATCTGTTTCAATCTGAACCATTGCTAGCCGAACACACCAGTATTTCTTAATATATGTAATACTTATATAGTGGACCGTACAGTTATCATCATCATTACAGCCTATCACAAGTCCACTGCTTAACATACTTCTCCCTCAAAAATGTCACAAAACACGGTCCAACAACTTCTTGAATGTCTTATCAGATCGTCATTCCATCTGGTGGGGGGCCGTCCTACACTTCGCCTACTAGTACGAGGCTGCCACTCGAAAACCTTTCTTTCCCATCAATTATCGGTTCTTCGAGATGCCCGACCCATTACCACTTCTTAGCTAAGCCGTTGGGATATGTCGGTTACTCTGGTTTTTCTACGAATATCCATTTCTGAGTTAATCACGCAAAAAGAAACCCCTAGAACAGCCCTCTCCGTAGCTTGCTGAGCGACCTTAAGCTTCCTCATACAGCCAACAGTAAAGGATCATGTCTAAGACCCATAAGTCGTCACGAGCAACACCCTCTGGACAGTACTTTTTAACTATTAGTGGAGTTTTAATCAGTTACCTAAACGCTTCTGGAAAATAACATTTATTTAAAGAACATGTGTTTCTAAGTAACACGCATTTTTTAATATAAATTATGGCTGATAATTAAGAAATAAGTTTTTCTTTTTAATACATATTTGGAGGAAGGGTGTGGCTTGTTCTTTTCTTTAAAAGCAATATAGAATGGACAAACCAGGTGGTATGTGAGTACTGCACCTCACAAACACCTGTAATCAACTTCAAATAAAGAAGCGGCAGGTACCCTGTCACCTCCGAGGTCAACTAAGGAATGCCTCACAGCCTGCAACCATACTGACTCTCTGCATCATTCAGAAAAAACCAGTACATGCACAGCTATTTGACTGCAGAAATAATATTTACCAATATATCGGATGCTGCAACATTTTCCTGTTGATTTCCCCTGTTTTGATTTTGTTACTTACTATTTTATTTCGTCCAAATACCAGAAAAACTTTTAACGTTATCAGTAAAAAGCTTTTCTGGTTTTCTATACTTACCATACAAAACACTGGAATATTATACCTATTCTGCGTTGTGTTGTTGTGAGGATGTGGTTTTTTACTGCAAAACCAACCCATTTGTACGTGGTATTATGTCCGATGTAGGCTTTATTAAAACGATACGTTATATCAATTCTAGGAAGAGAAGTTATCGGCCGAGGGTCGTGCATCGAGTAGACACCACGAGTTCGATCTTTTCACAAATCAACCACCAACGTCCACATTTTTGGCGCTTAATTTTCCAAAGCTATACACCGAATCACTGCTGCAACAGCATATTGCTAAAGTAGAATCGTGTAAACATGACGCAAGTGTAATTAAAATGCAAGAATTTGACAAGATCGTTCAGAAAAGCGGAACCTCAGGAAACGAGATAGTAGAAGCGAGTAAAATGATAAGAAACTATTGTAAAATGCATATGAAGACGTTGGAAAGATTTCTGAAAGAGTTCAAAGAGCACACAGAGAAATGTGGCCTCTCCAATACCGTTGGAAACGTGGCATTTTATATCAAGCGAAAAACAATCCAAGCTGAGATAGAACTAGAAGCGAATTACGCTATGACTTTGGAACTACTCGCTAGAAATGATGCAGCAGTTGAAGAATTATCTACAAATATTCAAGTTCAATGTAAAACTGTTCGGGCACAGTCTGAAATTCTAAGGGAACGTAATTCGTTAAATGCTATTAATACTAAAACACTCGTAGCAGGTAAAAATTGTAAAAAAATCAGTTATGAAATGCCAAACGTATCCAACAGCAAATTAAGGAAGGAGTTCGCTAACAAATTTCAAATAATTGATAAAAATGGAGTTAAAGATAAAGAAAACATACCACAAGAGAAAGAAAACAAATGGAATGCTATATCTGAAGCTTTTTTAGATAGACCTCTTGATTGTGGTGGGATCGACGAAACCATGTTTAGGACACGAAGATTTTCAGGGTCTAATTTTATTAAGCGAGACATCCTAAAGCTTAGAAAAATATAATTTTAAGTATGTGTACTTAACAGATTTACAAAAAGTTTTTTCTTTAATTATTATAGCTATAAATGACTTTTTATTTTAATAATAATAGATATCTTGATCCTATATTAGTATCCTTAATGTTATGTTTAATACCAATTCCACTTGTGACCATATCAATAAATAATTATAAACATAAAATGTTGATAGAATTTAATAAATAATGTGTGAGTGTTATATATATGTGTAAAAGAATAATGATTGACATTTCATAGATATATAAAAATAATCATAATAAAGAGAAAGGAGATTTTGAAAGAGCGGGAGCTTTATTATCTATCCTCATACTATTTTAGTAAATATATAAAATATATGTAAAACAGAACAATATAATGGATATGTCGTTTTAAACTTGTAGAAGATATTGCTTAATTATGAATAATAATACATTTATTTGTATTTTTGTTGAATGTTAAACAAATTTCAAATAAATTTGTCGGTACGATACGCGCGTCATTTACTCTAAGTTAATTGTCTATGCCCATGAACTTCGCGCAAATTCAAGCAATAAGTTTACAAATTTTTAGCGTAATCTGACGAATTATTGTAAAATTTCATGATTTTAGGTCGACGGGAGTAACCTATAGGTTTTGATGGGTGAGTTTGCGAGTATCAATATATATGTGACATAAATGGCCGTATCTTTTGATTGCGCTGACTCAGAAGTTTAACACTTGTAGGGGACCATGGATTTTACTATTTTGATATTAATTTTAACTTGTACCAGATTCTGGAAAAAGGGGCTTGACAGACGTTCAGACACACCAACAGACTGACCGTTGTGTTTCTGAACAAAGTGATTGTATAAGGGTTTCTTTTATAGGATAGGGTGACAAACGAGCACACAGTCCACCTGATGGTAAGTAGTTACTGTGATATATATAAGGGTTTCGTTTCGATAGGAATTATAATTATGTTTCACACATTTAGAATCCGGTGAATAGTAATCAAGTATTAGAGGCGTTTAGTAGACAAAGTGAAAACAATGCGAATGCTGATTCTACTATTAATCCTTTTATATATTTAGTATCGGTTGTCAAGAGCGTTGGGCCGGACTAAGGACCAGTGCTGTCACCGAGACCGTTGCGTTTTGCAGTTTAATGGTGCATACAGGACTTATGAGTGCATTTTATTAAATTTATGATAATGGTAAATACGTCGTTTTATTTATCATTTTGCCCATTATTACCGCTTCATATTTTTTGATGCTAGATTAGACACATTTCTTTCTTTCTGTCAAATAGAAATATATTTATTTAACCAAAAAGACAAAACATTATTAAACAATACAGTGGCCTCTTCACTAATATGTAAGTTTGTTTTCATTGTATCACCAAAACCAAGAATCAGTAGAATTAGTAACATCTAGATTTTAAGAAGGAATCATTGACCAAGCAGCATCTACAGCATTATCTCATTAGTTCATGGACCACAATAAAATCAAATTAGTTACAACCTACTAACGTGAGGCAAAGCTTAAGTTCTTGTTGATTTTTGGTCAGTCCCTCTTACTTTATTTTTTGTCAGTGAGAGGCAACTGCTGGACATTCATATAAGAATTATTTTCAGGACATAATTTCATGGAATTATCACCATTAGCATGCAGACTCGCGACCACAGTACTAAACGCCTCGCACATTATGCGTTGCTTCTGGATCTACTTGTCTTGATGTTTTATATCTAGCGTATATGAGGTTATTATCATACAATCCATTTTAAGACGTAAATTCTTTCTTGCCTTTCTTACAGTCACTTGTTATGACACCAACTAGAAGAAATGGATTCTCGTATTCCCATTCACCACCACCATACATTACAGCCTATTAAAGCCTGTGGCCTTGAAAGGAAAAGGGGAGATCTTCCGCCGGCAAGGTGTTCTGTCCGGGGAGCGGCCAACACTCCGTGTGATAGTTCGGAGATATTCTATATATACTGTTTACGATTAGGAATGTTGATAGCGTGATTTAGGCTTTGGTGTGTTTCGCTTTTGGCGTGACGACAGCGCCGCCACAAGCCTTTCTTATTCTGAATAAAGATATCCCCCAAAAATTGCCTCAATGTCAAATTTTTTATTCGTTGCTACGTTCAGCGGACGGATAAACAACCGTAATTTTTTTAAATAGAATAAGGGTGACAAATGAGCACACAGTCCACGTTATGGTAAGTGGACACTGTTGCCCATAGACATCTACATATATCTTCGATTAAGAATCAAAACGCAGATGATTTGTCTCCCTTGAGGACTAAGATGGAATGCCTCGTTTCCAATAAAAAGGAGTCTCCGGATCTCTACACTTACCATACGAGACACAGCAGTATTAGGCTGCTATTTTGTGCTGGTATTTTGTGAGAGCGTGGTCTTTCCCCAGTCAAACCAACCCATTCGTACTACAACCATAATGTAACTGCAACGTGTCTCTAACGCGTAAAAGTATTTAAATCGTTATCAAAAAGATGCTGATGCTCGTCTACTATTCCATTTTTTTTTATCTTTCACCTCTTTCACCTCTAACAACACGCACAGGATAATACGAGTATAAGGTAATGAATTCTCTTACGTCGCCACTACACGGTGTGGGCTGCGTTAATTTAAATTAGTAAATAATCTAAATATAAGTTGATAACCCTAAGTCTAAAGTAATATCTTGACTAGCGCTTAGTAGGAAAATAAACAAGTGGTAGTGTTAAAAATTTTGTTCAACCGACTTCAATATAAATAAAATGAGAACATCATCAATCTAATCGAAGTCAATTAAATACACATTATTACATATAGGTTAGATCCCAATCAAATTTATATGGAACCACATGAGAAGTACAAACTTCAAATAAAAAAAGAATCATCAAAATCGGTTCACCGAGAAAAAGTTCTAAGATAACACACATAAAAACATACAGTCGAATTGTGTACCTCCTCTTTTTTTTGAAGTCAGTTAAAAAGTCCTTATATATGTAGACTAGCTGTTCCCCGCGTGTAACTTAGGGTTTAAGTTTTTCTGCGCAGAACCCTTATTCTTTTTCTAAAATAGAAGTAGCCTAAGTTATTTCCTATAATATAAGCTATCTGCCAGTGAAAGTCTCGTCAAAATCGTTCCAGCCGTTTCTGAGATAAGTCGAAACAAACAGATGAAAAAATAAAATTTGAAAAATTTTGCTTTTCTTATAAGTACCGTATATACTTTCTTAATGCGTTTGCATTTCAATATGCATTCAGTAAAAAACTATTATTTTGATATTACAAACAGACTTTCATTCGGAAGAGAAGGCAAAATTGGCCAAAAAAGCTTGGTGTGCTAAGTAAAGCGGGACAGTATTTCATGCCGGCAAACCACTTACAATTTTCAAGGCAGGCTCGACTGCACATGGAATACTGTTCCCATCTCTGGACTGGGGCTCCCCAGTGCCAAATCCTTCCATGGACCTTCAAGAAAAGAGCCTACTCCTTTTTCAAAGACCGGCAACACATCGGCAATTCCCCTGGAGTTGCATTTGTTCATGGGCGGTGATAATCACTTACCATCAGGTGTGCCGTATGCTCGTGTACCCGCCCCCCTTCAATAAAAAACCCTTAAATTTTATTTATTTGTATAGATATATTGTTATTTACTTGTTAATGGGTCACTCACTACTCGGTCTTATCGGTCTGAATTATTGTTACGTTTACAAGACGATTAATGATATCATCAGAGTACTATTCTATTCATATTCATTTTTCGTTGGACAAGCTTTATTTCCAATCAAGAAACACAAAATAATATAAGATACTACTCATAGTAAAAATATTTTATGTTCCTTTGCCTAGTCAGACAAAAACTGCACAGAACTGTTTGAATATTTATTAGAATTAGAACTACTCACCGAATAGAAGGAAAGAATTAGTAATTAGTATACTGTCTGAAGTATATCAGTTCGATGCTGTCTTTGAAATGACCGATCAGGAACGAGCATCGATAATGAAATAAAATTATCGATTATAGTGACATCACTATCCAAACGTCAACGGGTGAACAAATGGCATTTCGTATTCATTCATGGCAAAAGAGAAATCATAAATCAGAAGCAGTGTTAGAACACGTTCCGTCCGGTGCGGGCGTGTGTCATTTGCATATTTCTACCTGCTGCATTCCAAGATGGCCACCACTGCAAGTGCATACTTGACGCCGGTGAACACAGTCGACAGAAAGAATTTAATAGTTTTGATAAGAAATAACATTTTAGATGATTCCGTCGAGATTGTATCGGATACGGACTTGGTAAGTAATTTTTATTTAATAAAATAAGTTACTATGGACGATATTTTGTCAAGATTTTATCAATTTGTTCAGGTCTTGTTCAAATCTTTTTTAAATATTTAACCGTGAAAGTAACTGTAATTTACTAAAGATATTTAGGTTCTAGGTTTGTTATAATCTGTACTATTTAATGTTTGAAAAATTTTAAGGTGTGATTTTTAGGTAACGAATATTTTAGGGGAGAAAGTACATTAAACCCTTTTTAAAAGCTCCTATAAAATTCCAGTTAAGCCTCTTTTATCTTTCATATATCCCTTCAATTTTATTTTACTTTTGTAATATTCGTAAAAGGACACATTGATTGGAAAATTTTAAATAATATTTTGCCTTTAATTCTCAAATTTTGTGGAGTAGAGCGGAGGGAAAAGAGAAGAAGGTAACTGGCTGGTACGCCAGAATAGGGACATCATATAGAGAATGCCACATATTTGAGGACTAAGATCGAAAATATTACATTAGTTGTGAGATTTAATATGATTAATTACGAAAACGATCTTTTGTAGGTTTCTATTTCAATTTATATAGCGAGCGCTTTTATATTTACTGTGCTTTGCTATTAAAGAAATAAATAGGCACTAGAAAATAACTAGATAAATGAAATTCGATTTTGGTACTAATAACATTCGATTGAAAAATACCACAGGTTACAATTGTGATAAAATCAAAGCAACAGGGAAAAATGGAGTGTCCAGAACGAAAGACAGGCTGTGCTGAAAGAATTCAACGCAAACGTTTTGAATGTCGGTCTAGTGCATAATAATAATGTCCTCCAGACCGAAATCCGGCCACGGCGGCCTGCCTCAACGGAGACTAGCCATCGGCGCAGGGCAGAATTATAGTGCCCAAGTGTATGCGCAAGCACAGGCGCACTCTTTATTCCCTACTCTCATAATCCGATGGGACGGTAAACCGACACGACCGGAGAGAGATAAGGCGCAAGGGGTTATATCAAACACTAAGTCAAGGATTTCAAGAGAGTTACGAGTATTCCTGTATCGTTAATATCCGGTATAATTATTTATCTTCTCATCTTCAATATATGTCAAAGAAAATTTTTAGTATGGTAATTTAGTAATACACTAAATTATACTTTCATATTTTTAATTTCGTTCTGCAGCGTTATTAGTAATTAGTATGACAGTAAAAGTATGATAGGACTGGCATGTGGTTTCCATCTCACGTGGTTTTCATCATCGTATACTTATTTTTAAACCGTGTACTTCAAATCGTCTCGTAAGAGGCGAAAGGGGGAAACTGAAATAGGATATAGGCAGCAACGTCCTATGTTAAAACATTAAAAAACTTGCTTTTGCGTTGCCTACCCACCTGCCAAGCGTGGCAATTATGGCAAAGTCCCACATATGAGGCTCTCTCCCTGGGGGAGGCCTATGTTGAGCAGTGGATGGCTGTAATTAATGGATGGGTGGAAGAGATCCCTATTTTTATCCAACTTCAAAAAAGGCGGAGGTTTACAATTCTACTGTGTTTTTGAAGGTATGCTATGTAAGGCGAAATCCTTGTCAATTGTGGACCGATTTTGTAAAATAATTTTTATTAAATAGATAATCTTTTATTATTAATTAACAAAAAATCCACTGCCGTGCGGTTTCTAACCCGTGGTAGCTCAGACGGTCAGCGCTCGCTGTAAATTTCACAGCATGCGAGCAGCCCGGGTTCGTTCCTCCTACGTTCACAGTGGACTTTTATAGGCTGTAATGGATGGAAGTTTCGATTCCCGCCAGCACTAATTAAATTGTTAAATGCAATTTTTAAAGCTGATTTTCCACGTACTCGGCGGTGAATCGGAAGGAAACTTGCATGTTTGAGAAATAATAAAAAATATATTTCGAAGACATGTGAAGTTTGCCAAAACGCATTAAGGCAACCCGGAGGACACTTTCTTGCTCTAAGACCCTCTCAGAAATAAGAGGAGGTCTGGGTCCAGCTGTGGCACGTATATAGATTAAAACTTAAAATTTTTTTTAATTCCACCCCGTATTCTTTTAGCGAAGTAACGATAAGTGTAAATATTTAAACGATATTCAAAAGGTTTAAAATTTAACTCGAAGATGGGCTTTAATTTATCTGTACTTACACTATGTCTGGCATCAACTTAATAAACTGAGACTATTTTATTAATTTAGTTCTTTGAAATCGTCAAAAAGTCATTTTAAAATTAAGACTTTTTTGGTAGTTTCTGGCATTATTATTCTTTGTGCCAATGACGAGTAAAACTTCACAGACGAGCGTCGTATTCGAAGTTTCCCCTAATTCTTTTCTTCTTTTCATTTATCTGTTTTAAACGTTAACTCCCACAAGGATTAGCTTCTATTTCGTAGAGGCAGTTTAAATCCACAAATTTTGACAATGACAAACAACCAGACCCGATATAATTCTTTGTAGGCTATATAAATTTTTGTTCCGTGCGGGATTCTAACCCGCGGCCCTTAGCGCTGCAACTCTTTGCTGAGCCACTATGCCAGGAGCCGTTAATACTTATTTCCTTAGATTATTGATAAGTCGGAGCGCGTCTGAGCGTGCGATGACCTATCAGTAATCTAAGCTTATTTCTCAAATTAGTTCAAAATCGTTCATTGATAGATAACTAACCTTAATAAAGTACAAACGGACTTCAAAAAACTAAAAGAAAAAATATAAAATAATGTCCACAATCTAACAGCATTTGTATTTCTGCTAAGTATAGATACACTTAGTAAAAAAACAACCCCTATTTAATTAGTAATTAAAAAAATGTGTAGATAGAGCAGTAGTCGAATGTATTTATAGCCTCAGATAGCAATAACAACAGCGGAGGCTAGGCTATGTCTAGCCGTGGACTGCCGCAGGATGATGGTGATGGTGATAAGAACCTGCTTCTATTAAAAAAAATTATTTGCATTGAATCATTAAAAAAATTAAATGAAAAAGTTGCCTATGTATTCTGTGATGTTGGTGTTTTAACATGTAGATATTGATTTACCGTTGATATTTCTAAATTGTTTCGCGGGTAATTCGTATATAAAAGTTTTTTTCGCTAGCTTCAGGTAGGAAGGGACCAAAATGTCTTTTGAAAACATTTTAAGGAGCAGGTACCTTTTACCTTGTATCGTAAAAGCATATTGGGTAAATTTTGTTGAATTTTATTCACTTTGATGCTTGGATTACGTTTATGGAACACAATTGAATATAAAAAAACTTTTTGTGGCATACTTTTCTATCATTTTTTGTAAGAAAGTTGAACTTATATTTTTGTTTTATCTTAAAAAATCTTCTTTCACTCTAAGATTATTATTCACTTATATCGTGGAGGTGATTTATAAACATTAATTGCACTGATAAATATCTAGACCTGGTATTTAGGCTATAGAAATATTTGTTTGGTGTGGGTGGACCCGATAAATCCGTAAAATTAGTTTCAGATTACAGCGTTAGTTCCTATAGAGTAATAATAATAATAAAATCGTTTATTTTATAGGCCTTACATAGGTATACGTGGTAGAGCCACGCTGCATGGGGAAGAACCACGCTCTCAAATAATACCATCGTAAAATCAATTCGTGCTTTAAATACTGTGTTTTGTATGGTGAGTGTAGAGATACGGAGACCCTTTTTTACTGGAAACTAGGCATTCCACCTTAGTCCTCAAGGGAGACAACGCATCTGCCTTTCGATTCCTAATCGAGGATAAATGTAGATGTCTATGGGCCACAGCATCTACTTACCATCAGGTGGACTGTGTGCTCGTTTGTCACCCTAATTCTATAAAAAACAAACATACTAAGATAATAGGCTTAAGATAATAGGCTGACTGACTGACCTTATGTGAAAGACTGGTGCCTGAAGTGGGTTTCCGAAAAAACTTGTTACACAGGTCACAGAGAAAATGTCAGAAGATGTTATATAGTATGGAGTTAGAGACACACAGGTGTATATATTTTTGTCAATCACGTAGGATTGTGTATTAAGTTAAGTTGGGTTGTTGTTGGCGTTATCATGAATTCTCATGCTTTTTAACACGATTTTATTAGCTTCAGGTGAATTTATCTACGCAACGGTGTTTTTAATGTTATGTTTATCCAACTTGTAGTCGGTCGATTGACATGAAAATTTGCACTTGTATCAAGTACCGATGACAATACAATAATCGAATAATTTTATCCTAGTATTTTGATCAGGATCACCAGGATACAATAAAATAATCAGCTCAGGATCGATGCGTGTTGTTTAGGTTTTTCTAAAGTCTATATCTATACATATGAAAGAGGATGTTTGTATATATGAAATCGTTTAACTCAAAATCTATTTGATCGATCACTATTAAAATTGGTATATATGTGTATTTTTCAACAAAAAAGTTTTATATTTATAAACTAAAAATAAATTGAGATAAAAGATTGAAAAAAAAAAACTTGAAACACTTATTTGATTTTTTTTCAATCAAATGCGGCAATTAATGGAATTGTACGCACTAAAATAAAATAAAAACCTTGCTGAACACAACCTATGATATTAACGGGCGACAACGTCTGCCGGATTCATATAATATTATATAAATATTACTACATATCCTTTGGTGTAGGTAATTAATAATGTGGTAATAAATTTTTTTCACAGATGGACACAGATTCTCCGATTCGAAAGTCCAAAAGCCTTCAGCCAGTCTCCAAGAAATTATTCCACTCCCCAATGTCGGACTACAGTCCAGAACAGAGTACGACATCCCGGGACGAAGTAGACAAAAAGAGCGTGGAAGGCAAACATTTAAACAGAACAAAAAGGGCGTGGAAAAGGAAACAAGTGCTAATCCCGGACTCGAGTGAAAAAATCAAAAGGGCGTATGTGAAAGAGTGCGATAGTGACGGCTATAGCCCCGAACCATGTGGCGGAATGAGAAGACGAGTGTTGATAAGTTTATTTCATAGTAAGGAATATTCAATGGATTATGGAGACTAAATTGTAATGAATATAGAAAAAACCGTGTCCATATTGCACGCGATATTTTTGTTTGTAAATAGGGTTGCCAACCGTATTGTTTTAACAGTATTATCTTTACTTTCCATTTGGTGTGCTTTAAATCTACTTCTTCTACTTTTTATTTGTCAATCCGTATCAGTCCACATCTGGATATAGCCCTCCTTTCTACTAAGGAAGAGATAAACCACGCTTATCAAGCTGATCGGCTATCGCAGTACCCGAAGTCTTGCACCTTGACCCTGTACTGCTTTATAGGTTGTGGGTGGCATGATGATGATGCAGCTGTAAGGAAAACCTGTCATCTCCTGAAATTTCTCATAGTCCTATTTTACCACACTTTCAGGATGATACAGGTCATCGTGTATCATGATACAGGATGAATAGAGAATTATCTAAGTCCGTGACCACGTCTTAAGACTATTTTGTTTACTCCCGAAATATTTTATCAAATATTCTCATAATCGGTTATTATTTATAAGCATATTCAAATGTATTTCAATCAGAAAAAACATTCTTTATTTTTCTTGTTAATACTGTGTATTTTTAATCAAATATTCTGTAACTGAAACAAAATTGCCAACCCTATTTTACACTATTACTTCATCGTGTAAGATTAGTATAGTTGAATGGGTAATATGTCTTCCTTTCCATTAGTGATATTACTAGACATAGATAGATTTATAGTAGAAAAGAGTCTAATTGTCTTCCAAAATAATTTTGTTTGTGATTTAGATTTTCTACAGATTACTAATAAATAAAATATAAGTGGTAAGATTGATTTTTGCATTCGGTCACAGATTATATTTCAAAAAAAAAAAAAGAAGAGAGTGTAAAGGTTAATGAAATGATAAATGTAACAAAAATATCCTCAAGAATTTGAAAATGGAAGCAAAAATTAATACCATTTTTGTTGGTTTTACACTTAAAATGCTAAAGCAGGGCTTCACTAAAGCTAAGAGTTTGTTTACGGCATACTTGGCGGAGTTGTAAGTAATCTTAGACAGATCCCTCGCCCTCTCCTTGTTGGAAATGATTATTAGACTTAATTTTTTTAAACAGAATTATCCCGCAACTTTTTGGATGCCTTATGTTTTTTTTTTTGGATAATTTATTATTTTTCATTTATTAGATTCGAAGATTTGGGTAAAGGGGTTTTTACATATTATATTATATTATATAAAAATAGTAAATAATTAAGATCGTATTGGATAGTGTAAGAAGTGAAAAATGTTAATTTATAATTTAAAAACATTTTTATAATAATTAGGTTATATTGTCAAGATTTAAATAAATGAAGTTTTAATTTTTTGTGTTATTAATTAATATTTATCCGTTAAAAAAGTGATCTCCGTGAATTCATGTTCTATGAATATTGGCTAAATTGTTATTTTATCCATTAGTTCATAAAATATGGGTGCCCCCCGTTGTGGGACGATTTTCCTTTCATTTTAAATAATGTGTAGTAATGTAGAGAGGCAAATAATTCTGACTCAATTCTGTTTAATTAAGAGTATGATAAATTCAAGATTAAAAAGTCATAAGATAAATAACACACTTATACAAAGACGTCAACAATAACCGAAAAAAAAATAAAAAAAATAATCCAGTATTATGCTTCAAGCAAGCTGGCGATGGTTCAACTGGCGCGTCTTGCCGTTGCGAATATAAAGAAAACATACCGAAAACAGAAGTAGCAGAGTAAGCTAATGTCGAGTTCTTATATTTACAGATCTCAAGTTGAATTATCATAAAAATAATTATTAATCTGAGTAATTGTAAAAGATCTAGAATTAATAAAAGTAATGATATGAAATAAGAATTACAATGATTTTGAAACAATGTTCGTTACCTCTTCTTCACCACCGACTTCAAAAAGGTCAATTCGACTGAGTTTTTTTTATGTGTGCTATCTCATAATTTTTCTCTGGGTGAACCAATTTTGATGATTATTTTTTGATATTAAAGCTGGAGCTTTTCGTGTGGTTTCATATAAATTTAATCAAGGTCTGACAAGTAATTTTTCAGTTGCCTTTAATAATATGTATTTAATTGACCTCGAATATATTGATGATGTTCTCATTTCAATTATATGAAAGTCGGTTACACAAATATTTTAATTTTACTACTTGTGTTCCAATACAATAGAATAATTTATACGTAATTTATTAATCAATACCCACTGGTAATAATTAGTAATTCTATAACATAAAATTAAGGAAGATATTATGAATTTACAATATAAAATGGTTCGGTACCAAATACTTTGAAAACTTATGACCAGGTTTGTCACAAAAAAAAATTACGCCTGCCACTACAAGCCTCAATCTATCTACCAATATGTATGTACATAAGATAAATAATTAGTATTCAACAGAATTCTGACCTATCATGATTCTATCATGCTCATGATCTATGTCTGTCTACTTACATAAGGCATACGTTTTGAAAAGTGTTCACAAGTCTTACATTTCCTTTCCGCCATCAAACAACCGGATGTTCGATGGTTTTCGACGTTGCACGCAAACGGCTTGCTTTGGGGATTTACTTTTATTTTTAACCGACTTCAAAAAGAAGAAGGTATTCAATTCCATTGTATGTTTTTTATGTGTTACCTCAGAACTTTTTTCTAGGTAAACTGATTTTGGTGATTCTCTTTTTATTTGAGCTGGTGCTTTTCGTGCAGTCTCATATAAATTTGATCAATATCTGACCAGTAGGTTTTGAGTTATCCTTAATAATTCGTATTTAATTAACTTCGAAAACATTGATGTTGTTCTCATTTTAATTTATATTGAAGTCAGTTGTCCAATTTTTTTTTAATTGACCACTTATTTAAAGATTGAAGTAACAAACCAACTAACAGTCAATCTTATGGTTAGCGTCTACAGCAGTCCTGGGACTTTCCAACTTCGATAAGGAACGCTGCAGATGCCTCTGAGTACTAAGATGGAATACCTTCTGGCTTGTAACTATACTAGGTCTCTATAACCTATAAACCGGAACATGGCAGTGTTTGGACTGTTGTCTGGTCGTTGAAATGGGTAAGAGGCTGATACACGGGGTGGTTATCCCGTAACACTTAAGTTTTAAGTACCTATGTATGTAGCAAGTTAAGAAGTCATAAATATTATCTACTGAAGATTTGATCTCTCCTGTAATTCCTGTAAACATGAAGTGATACACTATTAGGTAGGATAACAATCTGGTACTGAATTGTTAGCGTTATTTTAATTGTAATTTGATATTTATCTGTTTCGTTATTAACCACTCAAACGGCAATGTGTCCAAATTTGACCGCTTCGATATGCCACAAAATTCAAAAGGTCAAATGTGACCACACCCACCCACAACACTTTAACCCATAAATACTTATGTTTAGAGACTACTTTTCTATGAAGTAATTTGACATTATAGAATTAATATGAAATGTTCTACCGTGTAGTGGAATAAATAGTTAGTTATAGCTCTGGATATTTATTAAATTATAATCTACGTTCATTTCATACGCCATTTTATTTTGAATTTTAATGTGCTGATTTTTGGATTTTTCTAGCATTTTATTAGTGTTTTAGTATAGTTTTTTATTATAAAATTGTAATGAAAGTTTTTTTATAAATATAGTTTATCTTTTTTCGTAAATAAATTCGAGTAATATATATTGAAATAATTGTAATTTTCACGCTGCCGATATCCGCTTGATATGAATTTTTTTGTTATCAAAATACAATAAAATCTTTTTGTAGTGAAGTAAAACCTGACTTTTGTTTAGACCACAGGATAGAGAATTTTTTATCGATTTTATAATGCCACACTTCTTTATAGAAAAGTAGTCTCTAAATATAAGTTTTAATGGTTTAAAGTGCTGTGGGTGGGTGCTGTTGCATGCGACCGCTCGGGACATGCCGGACGCATGCGATTGCATGGGATTTTTATGGGAATTGAAGGGTTAATATCTAAAATTAAAAATAAACATAATGTTACAGACAAATCGAAATAAATGGCTTCTATTAAGGCGCTACCTCCAGCGAACGACCTTGAGCGTTTGGTCTGTCGACGCTCGCTACAATATATCGCGTAAGAAATCGCCAAAAGACGCCACCTACTGCTACGAACGTAGTATTATTTTTTCAATGTCAATGAACTCTTCTATGGAAATAGACACGGCGTACAATGATAAATGTATTTTAATTTTCTTTATTCGGTATATTAGTTGCATTATATTAGAATTATGTATTCTAATATATTATCTAATTAATAAAAATGACTATTTTGATTATTTTTAACTATATACTATACTGCTAATATTGAATTAGCTTTTTATAGTGTAAATTATAATATTTGTCGAAATATTAATTATGGATTCGAACTTTACATGCTAATGGTGCTTCATTTTTGTTATTTTCATTTACTTACATATTGAAAATATACTTGAATAGTAGTTATTATTATTTTATTTAGCTACTGAATTTTAGGATATGTTTTACCTTGAGGTCAAATATAATTTTGAGGAGCAATAGTTATTACCTACTAATCTTTTATCTGCTATTCCTTATTTAGGAACAATATTAGTAAATTGAGTTTGAGGGAGATTTACTTTTTATAATGCTACATTTATTATTTTAATATTTACCTACTGGGTAGGTAATTATTAAAATAATAAATATAGCATTAGTAACTAAATAGATATATTTTTAAAATTTTTAAAATTAAAATTTTCGTATTTTTAAAAATTACTAAAAAAAAGGGTTTGAAATAATAGATTTTCTCACAAAAGAAGGGAACTTGAAAAAAAAAGGAAAAAAAAAGCGGAACCAAAGCCAAGACCCGAACCACGGAACTCCGATATCACGCCCGACCGACATACCACCTGAGCTATAACGACCGTTAATGATTTGTCGAAATTTACCTTCTTATATTTTTATTGCCTGAAAACATGGACAAAAGGACATTTTCTAAAAATAAATCCAAGCGTTCGTCGCTAAAATCGTTGGAGCAGTATAATTTTCTCATCTGGTTCGGTTATATAAATATTTAAATATATAAAAATTATAAATTAAAATGAAAATATTACATAAAATATACATAAAATAAATACAAAATAATATTATATTATTATTGTTATTATTATTATTATAAGTTGTGGTTCGGTGAAGCTGCAACCTAATGGACCATGATCTGAAATTTTTATGAAAAGAAGTGGCTGACGTCAATTATTATTATTCTTATTATTTTTTCATTACTGCCTTTTTCAACCTCACAAGATATTTGTAACTGCAAAAAAAAAACTACGTATAAGTAAGTAAATCAGTAATATAGAGTTATGTATGATTCAGACTAAATAAAGGTTCCTAAAAATAGATGTAGATAAAGAAATTGCATAAAAAATTACTCAAATAAAAATGCAATAAACTTGTTAATTTTATAGGTACTTAGTAAAATATTAAAATAATAAGTTTTTTAGGATATTTATGTAAAATATAAAGGTTATATTATGTTCTAACTACGTTCACGCTTGCGCACATAAAACCGCGGAATTTCACTAGTTTTATTATCAAAATAATAATTGACAACCCTACCCTAAGTTTGCCTTGATTTTACCAACTCAAACTCGTTTTAGGAGATCAAAACATAGAGAGAAAGATAGGAGACTATTTTTTATTTAATATGGTTGGATCTTTATTTATTTGTATATTTTTTGTATTTATTTTATTTTATTGATATTTATGTATATTTATCTTTTCATTTTAATTTATATTTATAAAAACCAACCAGATGAGAAAACTATACAGATACTCCAACAATAATAATATAATAATAATAATATTTAATTTTATCAAATTTTTAATTTTATCAAAGGCGTAGGGATGTGACGACCCCATCGCCCGCTGACGTAACGGTTATGTGACAAAACCGCTACGTCAGCGCAGTCAGTCAGCACCTTGCCAAGAGGTGTTAGTGCCGTGCCTCGGCAAAAATTGAAGGTGCAAAGGCCCGCTTGTGCACATGGCCTCACCATGAAACGGCGCCGGGTCTGGGCGTCTCCCGTTAAATGACGCCCACCACTATGGATGATGGAATACGGAAGAACGCGCAAAGGGCCGCTGCCTGGAGGTCGCCAGGGCGCGTCTGGAGCTGGCGCTGGACGCGGCAGCATGCGAACCGCCAGCCGAGCGCGAGGTGCTGCACGACCACCCAGCAGCCCCTCGCATCCATCATCCCCACCAGCTGGCTTGGTGTCGGCAGGGTCTTCGCGGGCCCAGCAATCGGCACCCGCCTCTGGTGGAGTACGCCGCATGCGTTGGACAACCCAGATGAACAGCAACGCATTGCGGGCGTATTTTAGGGCGAAAGGGGGAAAAACTGGATGTTTGGCGTATCGGGCTAGGATGCATCGTCTTTTTGCTGAGCTGGAGCCATCTTTAACCGTCACAGAGCAAAACCTGGCAGACCGAGTTCGGTATATCTTGCGCTCAAATATATTTGATGTCGCCGAACTCGAACGCCTACGACGTGAGGCTGTTCCCTCGTCGGATGAGAATGCTACGGCTGAGGATGCGGCGCCACAAATGGTAAAGCAACCCGCAAACGTGGATGCCGCCGTGAATACCCCAGTTGTGGTTGATTCAAACGATGATGGAACAGTCGCCCAGGAACTGGAATTAGAGCATATGAGGAGTACATTGGAAGAGGCGATTGTGGAAACGCGCAGTACGCCTCTCGAAAATCGACCGCGACTTCCCCCGCATAGCCCTAAGCAAGCGGAATCGGGCTGTCGTGAGGGCTCTGAACCCAATGCTGGTGACCTATTTGGAAGCCAGTCGGGACCTTTGCGAGACGGACTCAATTCTTTTTGGCGCCGCGCTGGCAGTCTGCCGTATCATAGGCGCCAAGGTTTCCACGGCTGGACGCGCTACTGGCCATAGTAGCGCTATCCCAGCATGGAGAAGAAGAATTGAGGAACGTATCGCAAAGGCTAGAGCTCTCATCGGCAGACTGATATGCTTCAGATCAGGCAACAACAGGCCAAGAATTGTGCGCACCGTCAGGATGGCGTTTGCTGGGACAAATGTCAGTTTGTCCCAGCCGGATATAACGCAAAAACTGACGGAGCGCATAGATGATCTGAAGCAGAGAATCGCTGCTTGGGGAAAGCGGATTCGGCGATATACCGAGAGGTCGACACGGTTCAACCAGAATCGTCTCTTCCAGAGTGATCAGAAGAGGCTCTATGAATCATTGGAGCGACCAATGGTAAGTGGAACGGGTCCAGCACCGAATCAGGCCGACACTGTAGCATTCTGGCGCGGCCTGTGGTCAGAGCCCGTAAACCACAGCGAGGGCCCTTGGACGGAAGTTGTGGCGAGTCAGTGTGCGGGTATTACGCCCATGGACCCCGTCATCATAACGCCGGATGACGTAGCTGAGGCGGTCCGTAGGGCCCCGAACTGGAAAAGTCCGGGGCTTGACGGGCTGCATCACTACTGGCTGAAGGGGTTCATGGTGTGTCACTCTGTGCTCGCCCGACAGTTTCAAGAGGCTCTCAACCAGAAGTCGCTCCCAAGCCTCTTCACTACTGGGATCACTCATTTGGTTCCTAAAGACCAGGGTACCACAGACCCGAGCAAATACCGCCCCATCACGTGTCTACCGACCATATACAAGACACTAACATCCATTTTGAGCGCGAGAATCACTTGTCACCTGGACTCAAATCAGGTGATGTCGCGCGCTCAAAATGGATGTCGGGGCGGTGGTCGTGGAACCAAGGAACCACTCCTCATTGACGCGGTCATTGGCAAAGTGGTGAAACGCAACCGTCGGAACTTCTCCGCCGCCTGGATAGACTACAGAAAGGCATTCGACTCGGTGCCCCATACATGGCTAAAGAGAGTCCTCGAGCTGTACAAGATAGACTGTACAGTTAGAGACTTCCTTGAGCAGTGTATGGGGCAGTGGAGTACGATCCTTTGTCATCTGGGCGAGCGGATGATGGCTGCGGAGAACCACATAAGGATAAGAAGGGGTACCTTCCAGTCTTCGATTGTCTGAGTCCAATCCGGTTCTGCCTCTCCTGAACCCTCTCAGTACCTTACTGGAGGGCTCCGGTAGGGGATTTCAGCTACGGATACGGGGGACAAAAGTGACCCACCTTTTCTATATGGATGACCTCAAGTTATTCGCCTCCAGTCGCTCCCATCTTATGGAATTGCTAAACATCACTTGTGAATTTAGCAATTCCATTGGAATGGAGCTTGGGACGGATAAGTGTGCGGTCCTCCATGTTGAAAGGGGAAGGGTTGCTAACTCTGAGGGCGTAGACTTATCTATGCCCGTCAACTTAAGGACCCTTTCCGAGGCTGAAACATACCGATACCTGGGTATGTCACAAAACATCGGTATCGATGAGACTGGTATGAAACAGTCAGTTTGCGACGTGTTTTATGCACGCTTGACCAAAGTGCTTAACAGCCTTTTGTCCGGTGTGAATAAGGCACACGCATATAACGGCTGGGTCATGCCTGTCCTCATGTATACCTTTGGCATACTCAGGTGGACTCAGACTGAACTTAACGCCCTGGATAGAAAAGTCCGCACTACCATGACGTCCCATAGGATGCATCATCCGAGATCGTCGGTAATGAGGTTGTACTTGTCGCGGAAGCATGGTGGTCGTGGCTTCTTGAGCGCGCTCACCATGCATAATCGCGAAGTGTGCAGCCTCCGTGATTACTTCCTGGCGAGATCGGATGATCCATTCTATAAGGACGTCATTTCTTGTGATAAAGGACTTACCCCTCTATCCTTAGCCAACGAGCAATGGCAAGACCCGGCAGTGCAGAGCATTTCCAACCGAGAGACCGTATGGAAGGAGAAGGAGCTCCACGGGAGGTTCTACAAGGCTCTACATGAGCCTTTCATAGACACAGTAGCCTCCCTCCACTGGCTACGCTTTGGTGATCTCTTCGGGGAAACCGAGGGTTTTGTCTGTGCAATACAGGATCAGGTTATTAAGACCAACAACTATCGGAGATACATCCTAAAGGATGGCACCGTCGACATCTGTCGAGCTTGTCGCCATCCCGGTGAGTCACTTAGGCATGTTATCTCCGGTTGTTCGGCGCTTTCTAACTCTGAGTACTTGCACAGGCACAACCTAGTAGCCAGAATTCTACACCAGGAGCTCGCTCTGAAATACGGTCTCGTGGACCGGAAATTACCGTACTACAAGTACTTCCCGGAAGCCGTGCTCGAAAATGATCGCGCCAGGCTCTATTGGGACCGGGCCATCATCACAGACAGGACTATTCTTGCGAATAAGCCTGATATTGTGCTGATGGACCGGGCACAGTCAAGGATATTTTTGGTCGACGTTACCATTCCGTATGACGAGAACCTCGTGAAAGCCGAAACAGACAAGCAAACAAAATATCTGGACCTGGCTCACGAGGTGACCGACATGTGGGGTGGTCTGCCGACCGAAATTATTCCTGTAGTCGTCTCTGTAAACGGGCTAATCCCAGTCAGCCTCTCGGGTCATCTGAGGCGGCTGGGACTACGTGGCGGACCGCTCCAGGTTCAAATGCAGAAGGCGGTGCTCCTCGATACCGCCCGCATCGTCCGCCGGTTTCTTTCCCTTTCCCCCTATCCCTCGGCCGTTTGGTCTCCCCTGCCGAGGGCCTCCATCTGGTTGGGCTTTTATTTATTTATGTACTTTTATATTTATTTTATGTTATTGATATTTATGTATATTTATTTTTTATTTTCATTTATAATTATATATTTATAGAACCCAACCAGATGAGAAAACTATATAGATATCCCATAATATTCCACAAATATCACACAACGCCATCTAGTCCCAAGCTAAGCAGAGCTTGTGTTATGGGTACTAGACAACTGATAAACATACTTATATATTTCTAAATACATAAATATTATAGATAAATTACACCCAGACACAGAACAAATGATCGTGCTCACCACACAAACATTTGTCCTGGGTGGGAATCGAACCCACGACCTGCGGCATAGCAGTCAGGGTCACTAACCACTAGACCAACAGGCCTGACGATAAATAAAATAAAGTCTCTAGCTCGAGAGGAGAGGAGCCGTGGTAGCTCAGATGGTTAGCGCTTGCTAAAATTTTCACAGTGTGCGAGCAAACCGGGTTCGATCCCCGCCGGCACCAATAATATTGTAATTGCAATTTTAAGTGTTGATTTACCACGTGCTCAGTGGTGAAGGAAAACATTGTGAGGAAACCTGCATGTCTGAGAAATAAGAAAAATAATATTTCGAAGACATGCAAAGTTCGCCAACACGCAGTGGAGCAGCGCGGTGGATAATTCCTTTCCTAGGACCCTTTCAGAAAATAGAATAGAAATAAAAAAATAATAAATCCAAACTTCATTTAAAACCAAACATATAAATTGTAAAGTAGCTGCAGGTATCTATAACCGAGTAAAAGATATTCCTTTACTCCAACTTGTCCATGTTTCCCAAAACAATTTTTAATTAAGCTTTATAAAATAAAGAATATATAAAATTTTAATAATAAAGCATTTCGTACGTCTCAGCCGAGGCGCAAATATTTTTCGGCCGCAAATTTATAAGACCGATTTGTTATTCAAACATAAACATGGTTTTTTAATTAAATCTACCAATCATAAAACGACACGCATTTTTATTGAACACTTCCTATTCAATTCACAAAGTACCTATTATATTTGTTTATATAAAAAAGTATATTTAAGTACAATCATAAAACTAAATGGAAACACAAAGTAGGAAAATGCATTGAGTTATAAAACACATAAATCAATGGGCAAATGTAAAAATACTGGAGGCAGCAGCCCTATCGCATGTTTACGTACCGCACGGCTGTAATATTTATTTCTAAGATACGGCCGAGTTACAATATACCGTGACGTAAGCGCATCGGTTGGTAGGTACTCAAATAATATTATGTTTGCGGCGAAATACGGACGCAGCGACCAGCGACGCGGCCACCTCCTACTAACGCATACAGCGTAATGCCGCCCGCACTCTGCGCACGCCCCTTTATCATAGAAGTCATACAATTTTCGGAATTATTTCAATTAAAAGAGAAAAAACGAACTTAAAAATTTAAATAAAACGTGGAGAATATAGATTTTTTAATTATCTATCCATTAGTGTTATCCTCAAATGATTAGAGCGTTGCGTTTAGCAACAGATGCATGTAATCAAGAATTTTAGTCATTTTTTAAAAGTTGATTTTAAATGTATTTATAGCACATAAAAATAAATTAGAACGTGGAATGTGATGATAAGATATCGTACATTAATAATGTACTTTTAGATGTAGTTTATTTTTCATAACTAATGAGATAATAGAGTCTGAAAAACGCACTTTCGCAACATTTTGGTCAGGGATTCACCTTAAGCTCCGGGAGTTATTTGCGTGCTATTAAAACATAAATTACCATTTATAAAATTTTTGTATGTTTCCCTGTCCGTTTGTTCGGCCTAAACTTTGAAATGGCCGAACCGTTTGTTATGAAACTTTACAAACCAATAGAGAGCAATGCGAAAAGAGGTCTAGGCTACATTTTATCCCCAAAAATTTGAAGTATTTTTTTTGAAAAAAAAAAAAAACAAACAACAAAATTGATACATGAATATCCCTTCGCTATCTTAAATCTAAATAATTCAATATTAATATATTATATCCACATACAGGATCAGGTCATTAAGACCGACAACTATCGGAGACACATTCTAAAGGATAGCACCGTCGACGTCTGTCGAGCTTGTCGCCATCCCGGGGAGTCACTTAGACATGTCATCTCCGGTTGTTCGGCGCTTTCTAACTCTGAGTACTTGCACAGGACGACTCTGTGGCGCAATGAGTGGCAAGTGACGTGAGTGTCGCAAGCAATGA